CAGGAAACCAGGTAAAGTGCCAGGCTCTGTCATAGAATCATAGAAGATTAGGGTTGGAAGAGACCTCAGGAAGTCATCTAGTCCAACCCCCTGCACAAAGCAGGACCAACCCCAACTAAATCATTCCAGCCAGGGCTTTGTCAAGCCAAGCCTTAAAAACCTCTAAGGATGGAGATTCCACCCCCTCCCTAGGTAACCCATTTCAGTGCTTCACCTCACTCTTAGTGAAATAAGTTTTCCTAATATCCAACCGAGACCTCCCCCACTGCAACTTGAGACCATTGCTCCTTGTTCTGTCATCTGCCACCACTGAGAACAGCCTAGTTCCATCCTCTTTGGAACCCCTCTTCAGGTAGTTGAAGGCTGCTATCAAATCCCCCCCCCCCACTCTTCTCTTCTGCAGACTAAATAAGCCCAGTTCCCTCAGCCTCTCCTCATAAGTCATGTGCTTCAGCCCCCTAATAATTTTTATTGCCCTTCGCTGGACTCTCTCCAAATTGTCCACATCCTTTCTGTAGTGGGGGGCCCAAAACTGGACACAATACTAAAGATGTGGCCTCACTAGTGCTGAATAGAGGGGAGTAATCTCTTTTCTCGATCTGCTGGCAATGCTCATACTAATGCAGCCCATTATGCCGTTAGCCTTCTTGGCAACAAGGGCACACTGTTGACTCATCGCCAGCTTCTCATCCACTGTAATCCCCAGGTCCTATTCTGCAGAACTGCCGCTTAGTCAGTCGGTCCCCAGCCTGTAGCAGTGCATGGGATTCTTCCATCCTAAGTGCAGGACTCTGCAATTGTCCTTGTTGAACCTCCTCAGATTTCTTTTGGCCCAATCCTCCAATTTGTCTAGGTCACTCTGGACCCTATCCCTACCCTCCAACGTATCTACCTCTCCCCCCAGCTTAGTGTCATCTGCAAACTTGCTGAGGGTGTAATCCATCCCATCATCCAGATCATTAATGAAGATGTTGAACAAAACCAGCCCCAGGACAGACCCCTGGGGCACTCCGCTTGTTACTGGCTGCCAACTAGACATCGAGCCATTGATCACTACCCGTTGAGCACAACGATCTAGCCAGCGTTCTATCCACCTTATAGTCCATTCATCCAATTCATTCTTTTTTAACTTGGTGGCAAAAATACTGTGGGAAACCGTATCAAAAGCTTTGCTAAAGTCAAGGTATATCACGTCCACAGCTTTCCTCATATCCCCAGAACCAGTTATCTCATGATAGAAGGCAATCAGGTTGGTTAGGCATGACTTGCCCTTGGTGAATCCATGTTGACTGTTCCTGTTCACCTTCCTCTCCTCCAAGTGCTTCAAAATGGATTCCTTGAGGACCTGCTCCATGATTTTTCCAGAGACTGATGTCCCTTTACATCAGTCCGTTGGATGGGAATTGTATCCACTTCTAGATACAATTAGAAGTGGATACAATAGTAGATCCTAGCTCCCATTAACTTTAAGGGGAGTTATGGCTGCTCAGCACTTCTAAAAATCAGGCCCAGTCCTGAAGTCTTCATTCAGCAAAACTCCCATGGAAAATTAATGGGAGTTGTATCAGAAAGAATACTGGAGGATTGAATCCATCTACTTTTCATTCTGTGCCTGATCTTGCTCCCTCTAAAGTCAACAGAAGAATTCCCATGAACTTCTATGGGAGCAGCCCCAAGCCCTCCATCTTTATGTATACAGTATAAATAAATATGGTTTGTTGACATGACTATGTTTGTAGATCTGAGATTTATATACCTTTCCATGAGATCTTCAGCCTAACAGGCCTATCCAGGGTATGGGCTTCTGAATGAAGGATTTTAGTGTTAATTTGTCCACTATTTCTGGTTTTTATCTTTAAACATGTACACAAATTTCACACATGAACAGTGAACCTGACTGTTCAAGGCCAGTACTGCCATGTAGCTTGAAAATTCCAGTATTCTTCATGTATGCAATCACTCACTTACAGATTTCTTAAGATTCAGAATAGTGTGCATTAGTGTAACTGAACTGAGTCCTTTGTCTTTATTACGTTTCCAACATAAAAATATCTGCTACGGGTCATCTAACTGGCAAGTGTCTAATGCAGTACTGAATGCAGTTTTAGTATAATTGAAAATTTAATGGATAGCATCCAGGGCAGTAAATAAATCACAGGAACCGTTAATTCAAATAACTGAACGATAATTTATGGAATGCTCTAACAGCCTATATAAAATAATATTAGAACTGGGGTAGGAAGGGAAAGATTAATATTTTTTCTATTTATTTTCAGCTGCTTAGGGAAAAATGTTTTGCATTCCCATGACATATGCTTTAATGTGTTTGTTTTACTAATTTGTTTATTAAGCCACTGATTTTTTTATAATGTTTATAAAGTAAGAAAAATATTAAACATGCAACCTTGAGAAATAAGTAGTATAAAAGGGCTATTTAGACAAAATGAAAGTCTTCAATAAGCAATAATATATTACTTTTATACAGCGCCTTTCAAAATGTTTAAGAAATTATATACATAATAATTAATCTACCCTGGAATGCAGCTACTTCTGGGGTGAAACATGGTAACTGTTTAATCTCATAGCTGGATAGGGGACAATAATCTAGGATGGTAAATGTGTACATAATACAGTATATAACCACATTGTCCAAGGAGAATAACTGGAATTTGGTTATTACATGGGCTATCACCCTACTCTTAACAAATACTAAAAATACTGAGGATGCTTTCATGACCACAACTAGTCAGAATCTGGTTTGTCTCAGGCAAAAAGATTACGAAATGTAGTTGCTTCAGTTATATTCAAATCTATGGATAATCTCTTTAAATGATGGATTTAAAGCTATTAATCTTTTCATCAAACTATGTGCAGTTCTGATTTATCAAAATAGTCTTTTGGGGAAGTAAAAGCACAGTACTGCTCCTTTCTCTAGGAAGATGTCTTCTGGGGTTGTTTTTGCCAATAATTTGAAAATACAAGATTCACATGTGCTCTGATAGTAGCTGAAAGGCTTCATGGAACAAGTGCCTTTGGGGAAAACCTTGCAGGCAAAGTCCATAAAAGACATTGAAA